GGAGGAGAGAAGGGGGGGAGTGAAGCAATCTCAGCCTCACCAGTCCCATAAGCGCTGGCTCCTTATCTAATTTTCCACAAGCCCCCGAGGAAGTGAAGGGTGTGTGCGGGGGGAAGAGGTCTGATCTTGCTTCCTGACGTTCGGCACAGCAAGGCGGCGGAGTGAGCCCGCTCCCCGACCACCGCCACATGCACCCACCCTGACGCACGGCACTTTCGCCCCCTGCCCCGGGCTCAAGGTGCAACTGAGCCTCCCCCCCCCCCCAACAAACCCCGAACCCCCCGGGCAACCGGGGGGAGAGGAGGGAGGGGGGAAGAGAGGAGGGGTGGGGGTGGAAAACCACCGAAATTAACTTACAGATCTCGCCAGGGATCCATTTGAGGAAGATGTACCTTCCCCAACAGCCGCCCGAGCCGTCGTAATCCGCACTAACTGCCTTGTCCCACCGTCCCAGCATTAAACAGCTCTAGCAGCTGCGATGGTGGACAGTTAAGATTATATATGATGTAAATATATTGTGGGTATGTCAGCTCCCCCAAACCATAAAACTTAGTTTAATGACACCACGTGCTCACCGAGAGCCATTCAGGGCCTTTGCTTTGGGCTATCCACATAAATAACCTTCAAAAGTTTTAAACTACTAAATTCACTTAGAAGCCACGGGTATTTTCGCCTAATGTTCTGAGGGCAAGAGGGGAAAGGCTTGGCTTTTTAAAGTCCTGGATTATTATTATTTGTTTTTTCCCCCTCCTCCCCCCCTCCCCCGTGTCTCTTTGAAAGCACACAAACATTGGGACTTCGGGTCTCCCTCCCTCCCTCTCTCTCCCCTTTTCCCCCCCTTCCCTCTCCCTTCCTTTCTGTTTGGAGGCCTTTTTTTAAAAAGTCCCCACTGTGTTGACACACGGATGACAGTGAAGGTAAGCGATGTTTCATTTCCTTCTTGACTTTGCAAGAGTTCTTTTCGGGAGGAGGGGGCTGGAAAGCAAGCCAAAAAAAAGGGAGGGGTCGAGGAGGGGGGCTAGGTAGTGAATGCCGAAAAGCCAACGACAAGCCCAACGACCAAATTATTAATCAGTCCTGAAAAATTACTTTTTAAAAAGACAGGGATAGAGGCCCAAATAGTCCCACGTTGTTCGCTGGATAAACGAATAATTAATCATAAGGCTCTGTGTGTGTGTGTGTACTCGGCTGGTTCGCGTTATGGTAATGGAAAAGTTTGGGCTGCTACACGCGAAGGGGCTCGCTCGCTCTCTCCCTCTCTCTTCTCTCCAACCCCCCCCCCCAAAGATAAAACAAAAAGTGCATCTGATTTTGTTAACCCTAACCTGTCAAGCCCAATTATTCTTTTGGCAGACTTCCGATTAAAGGGAAAGGCAAGGCCAAGATTTAAAGAAAAAGAAGGGAGGGCAAGAAAGCCTTAAGACAAAATAGATCAAAACAGATGTTTGAAAAAGAAAAACACCTTTGGGTTTAAGAGCAGAGTTACCTAGACAGGCATCTTTCTTTTCTGTTCCTGAGTGGGTTATACACAACTCTCATTTTTCGAACACCGGCAAGATTCTATATCTAGAGCGGTT